TGTTCAGGAAATTTCCAGGTTTCAGGTCAAGAAGAATGCACGTGTTTCCAACCGAGGTTCAAATTTTCACAGTGCGGGATCTAAATCAAATTCAAGTGATGTGAAGGGAGATATGTCTCAGATTAATAAGTATTTTCGTTGTGGCAATCCAGAGCATAGGGCTAATAATTGCCCGTATAGTAATTACAAGTGCCATGGGTGTAAAAAGTTGGGTCATATCAGTAAGGGTTGCAGGTTCAAATCAGAAAATCCAGTGAAAAATTCCATAAAAAGTGGTAAATTTAAAATCCATCAGATGGAAGAGGAAAATAGGCCTAGGCCTAGTGATGGTCTAGATGAAGTGAAGTTTGAAAGTTTGTCTTTGTACAGTATGAATTCTGGTGATAATGTTTCTGCCTTTAAGGTAAGCCTAGAAATAGAGAATGTATCCGTATTAATGGAAATTGATACTGGCTCGGCACTAACTGTGTGCCCTCAAGAATTGTTTAACAAATATTTCCCTCATGTACAATTGAGTACCGTAGATATCAAGTTGCTTACATATTCAGGCAATGAAGTCAATGTTATTGGACAAGCTTTAGTCAAAGTAACCTACATGGACCAGACTTATCAGTTACCTATGATAGTCGTTAAGATTGATCGTACGAACCAGCCTATGCTTCTAGGCCGTAGTTGGCTACAACATATCGCTTTTGACTGGAAATCTATTTTTACTTGTAATTTTAATAGCCTATCAGGCAGTGTTAAATCTAAGGGTGGTGAACCTAACCTAACCCTAGGTAAGGCCGATGAGCCTAAAGTCGTTTCTGGTTTGAAACAAAAGTATGCCTCTGTGTTCAAAGGAGGTCCTGGTGAAATTAAGGGAAATTGTTTAGATGGGGGTGACCAAGCGTTCTATAGTAAGTTATATATCATTGGAAACTAGATTTTTACCTGAAAATAATGGTGCAAAAATTTTTCTGCTGCCACAAAAACTGAATTTACTACGATTTTTTAAAGTTTATTACTGTAATGCATCTTGTTGGCTGGTCTCTGTCGCCATAACTTTACTGTGAATTGACAAAGAGGACAAGGAGGTAGAGGCATTTATAAATTCAACTGAGCGTTGATTATGAACTACTTCAGTTCTTATTTAGACATGTGAGGTGGGTAGGTTGGGTGTTATGCGGACTCGTGACTGTATTAAGTGTTTTGAAGTTAGGTTAGATTAGGAAGGTAAAGTTTAGGTTATAATGAATCAAGCTGTTGATTTATATTATCTCCAGACTGTTTATGCACTTTGTTAAAAGTACTACTAACAGAATAAATAACAATTTCAAAAATGCGCAGCATTTTTGAAATTATTATTTAATGTGTTTGTAGTACTAGGTTAGACTTTTGTCAGCTTGTCAGATTTTTGTTTACATTACTACATTTGAGTGATAGTCAGAATAACCTCAAATCTACTCAAGATTGACTTTGATTTCGAACTTATTGACTGATTCAAATAATTATCATTGCAGTTAATAAGTAAACAAATAATATAACTGATATTATTTTCAATGGTTTTAATGTGCACTGGATTAATATGAGAAATACCTATGTGAATATTTTGCTGATGATAGATTACGACAAGTAAGTTATACTGCACATAAACTTGGAAATATTTCTTAAACTATTTAAGCCACAAAATAGTTTGGATTATTGGTATAAATAGTTAACCTATTTTGTTAAGAAAGCATCTCTTATTATTATGTATTTGATAGCACACCATTAAGTTGTACTACCTATGCAGTGTTGCTTTTGCCTGTGCTACCCATAGCCTAAGCATAGACTATAGGCCTAACTTGTGCATTTGAGAATTTGATTAAATTGAGGAAAGTCAAATTATATTTTATTGTCTTATCATTACTGCAGATTTGTTTTGTGCTGAATATTTCCTATGTTTAATTTTCTTTCAACATGAGGTTTTCTTCCTTCACCAAACAGAGTGAACTTATTCAAGCTAGGCTTGAGTCAATAAATAAACAAGTCAATGCATTGAAAGAAACTCAGGTTGTGACTACTTTAAGCGAGCAACAGATTGCTAAACTTAAACTCTTGTTTTAAAGTGCAATAACCAAGCACTCAGAATTTGAGAGAATAGTAAATAAACTTTTTCAAACTACTCCCACTCCTGAAGATATTCAAGATGATAAAATTACTTCACTGCAAGAAAAAATTTCTGATTATTTTGTTGAGATTCAGTCAAACTGTAGTTTGTTACTTCCACCAGTTAAACTTGAAGAGTCACGCCTAAATGACTCTACTTCCGAGGTAGGCCCTACTACTCCTACAGTTAATCTGACTGTGAAATTGCCGCAAATCAAACTGCCAACATTCTCTGGCAATCCTGAGCAATGGGTCTCATTTCATGGCCTGTTTGAAAGTACTGTACATAATAATAAAACAATTTCTAATGTTGAGAAATTCTCATATCTCATAAGCTGTCTTTCAGATGAACCTTTGAACTTAGTTAAGTCTATACCACTAAATAGTGCTAATTATGTAATTGCTTGGCAAACCCTGCTTAAGAGGTACCACAATACAAGGCTCTTGATTTCATTACATTCTACTAACATCTTGGACCTACCGCAGCTTACTAAGCCTAATGTTACACAACTTAGGAATTTTATTTCAATTTTTAATGGAAATCAGCAAGCTCTTAAAGCACTTGGCCATAACATAACTGATGACAACCTGATCTTAAGTACACATATTTTGAGAAAGCTTGATTCCGCTATGCGTTCAGATTTTGAACAAAAACGAGATGACTCAAAACAGGTTCCTTCTGTCACAGAAATAATAAACTTTCTGGAAAATGAGTGTTCTTACAGAGAGGCGGCTAACTTAGGCTCGACCTCACATGCTAATTCTTCCCTTCAGTTAAAAAACTATGGAAGTAGTAAGAACATGCCTTATCTAGGTAGGCAAACCGCTAGTCCCAAGCCAAGCAAAGTTGTAATGCTTTCTTCTAATGACAATGAACAAGCTCATACTTGTGCTTACTGCAATGGAGCATCGCATAACATTTTTCGCTGTGATGTTTTTGGTGCCTTATCACCACACGATAGGTTCAACTTCATTAAGAACAATAGCCTATGTGTTAATTGTTTAGGACGACATTTCTTAGGCTCATGTAAGTCATCCAGTTCGTGTCGAGTTTGTTTTAAGCGACACCATACGCTACTGCATTTTTACAAAACGGACCAGCCTATAATGAAAAAATCTGTTAAGCCCTCGAATAAGACTCAGGCCAATTCCACAACACAATTGAAGGCTCCTGTACCGCAAGGATTTGAATCAAATACACTCTCTGCTCATGTAGACACTGGTGCTGCCAGCCACAACTGTACTGTACTTCTTGCCACTGCATTGGTAAAAATTTCTACCTCGAATGGTCATAATATTATTGTCCGAGCTGTGCTTGATAGTGCATCACAAACGAGTATAATATCTGAACACTGTGCCAGTATGATTCACATTCAGCGTTCGTCTGTTGGCGTTCACGAGATAAAGGGCATTGCCTCAGCTCGAATGAAGCCTAAGGGACTTTCCTTTGTAAATATTTCTTCGCTTAACGGGAAAACACTTGCTACGGCACATCCTGTCCTCATACTTGATAGAATTACCAATGATATGCCTAGTGTCAAGATATCTTCTGAAATAAAGGCTCAAATCAAAGAATACGCACTTGCCGATCCCAACTTCGACACTCCTGGACATTTGCTCATCGGTGCGGATCTGTTTGCTCAAACTATTATTGGATCTGCCACCAGTCTTGGTGATCGTATGCCATACACTATAAACACTATTTTTGGATATGTTGTCCTTGGGAACGTGCCTACTTCACAAGACGGCCAAACCTTTAGTGGATTGACGACTATACTTTCCATCAATGATCTTACACTTCATGAAACACTTCAGCGATTTTGGGCATTGGAAGAACCACCTGCTTGTTCTAAGCTATCCCCAGAGGAAATGGAATGTGAAGATCATTTTTTGAAAACTCACTCTCGTGACGAGACGGGAAGATATGTTTGTTGTTTACCGTTCAAAGAAAATCCAGTAAAACTAGGAAATTCTTCTACAGTTGCTTTACAAACTTTCAAATCGCTTGAACGTAAGTTTCAATCGCAACCTGATTTCAAAGAAAAGTACATTGAATTTATGAATGACTACGAATCCTCTGGTCAAATGAAACCCTCAAACTTATTTGATCTAAATAACCAATATCATTGCTTCTTACCACACCACGGTGTCTTTAAGGATGGAAAGATACGTGTTGTATTTAATGCGTCCTCTCAAACTTCAACTGGTGTAACACTTAACAGTCTACAGCATCAAGGACCCAAGTTACATAATTAAATAACAGACATAATTCTACGTTTTCGTCAAAATAGGATCGCCTTTGCTTGTGATATCAAACAGATGTTCCGTATGATCTCTATTCATGAACAAGACCAACGTTTTCAACTCATCTATTGGAGAGAAGAAATGTCACAGCCGCTTCGAGTTTTTCAGTTGACAACCGTTACTTATGGTATGACTTCTTCGCCATTTTTGGCTAATCGAGTAATACAACAATTAATTCATGATGAAGGAAAGAATCATGAACTTGCTGCTCATGCACTTAAACGACAAATTTACGTAGACGATGCGCTACTAGGCAGCGATACTGTTGAAGAAGCTGCAAAATTACAGCAAGATGTAATAAACCTTTTACGAAAAGGAGGCTTTGAACTTCGCAAATGGGCGTCTAACAATAGCCAAATATTGGAAAATTTACCCCCTCAACACTGCTTATCAACTGACTCACCTTGTGTTAGTATTCTTGGACTGAAGTGGAATCCACACTCAGACACATTCTCATATGCAATTTCTGAAGCTCCATTGATTTTTACCAAAAGAGCAATTTTGTCTTCCATCGCTAAGATGGACAAGATGCTCCAACAACAAGACAACAACAAGATGTAACAGGCATGCTTACCCCTGTTATTTTTTGGGCTAAGGCTCTCATGCAGCATATATGGTCACTAGGCCTAGATTGGGATAATACTCTTCCTAGTGATATTATCGACAGATGGTCAACTTTTGTCAACGAACTTCCTGAGATTGAAAATTTGGAGATTGGCAGGTACATATCTCTGAGTGATGCGGTTAATATTCAGTTGCATGGATTTTCAGATGCAAGTGAACTCGGTTTTGCTGGATGTGTTTATCTACGAACTGAGAACCCGCAAGGCAGTATATATGTCAACTTATTAATAGCCAAGTCACGTGTGGCACCCCTGAAACGTATCACGATTCCTCGCCTTGAACTGTGCGGAGCACATATTTTAGCCAAACTGTTACACTACTGTGTTGATCAACTCTCAGATCGCTACAAGATAGATTCTGTTACCGCTTGGAGTGACTCCACTGTGGCTCTTTCATGGATTCACACCCCTTCTCATCGTTTGAAGTTATATGTTGCAAATCGTGTTGCACAGATTCAAGAATTGACCCCTTCCTGCATATGGAAACACATTTCTACTCTTGAAAACCCCGCTGATGTTGCCTCTAGAGGATTAACCCCATCTCTTCTTATTCATAACAAGCTCTGGTGGTCTGGACCCACATGGCTTAAGAGTTCATCTGATTCATGGCCTCAACCATCGAGTCATCTTCCCGAAGAGGAACTCCCAGAAATTAAAACCACAACACTAAATCTTCTTACGATAGCTGAAGATCAAGATCTGAAGTTTATCAATAAATTCTCTTCATGGACTAAACTACTTCATGTCATGGGCTACGTTTTACGTTTTATTTCCTGCTTGAAAACTAAGCAAAGGATTACTCATTCTCTCACACTTGAAGAGTTAGAAGTATCGAACAAACGGATTTGTTGGCTTGTTCAAAGAGAGAGTTTCTCTGAGGATATTAATTCCCTGTCAAAGAAGAATGTGTGTTCTTCTCGCATTCAACGCCTTTCACCGTTTATGGATGATGAAGGTTTGTTAAGAGTTGGAGGACGACTGAAACATTCTGAGTTGCCGTACAGCGCCAAGCATCAAATTATCTTACCAAAGGATCATTTTGTTGTAAATTTGATAATTGATTATCATCATCGCATCTTTCTTCACTGTGGACCAACACAACTCCAAGCTGTTCTTCGTGAGAAATATTGGATACTTTCTGCTCGTAGTATCATACGCTCCAGGATTTTTAAACGCCTGAGATGTTTCAGAATGAAACCTAAGCCAAACACACCATTGATGGGAGACTTACCTTCCCCAAGAGTGGTAGCAACCCGACCTTTTAATGTTACTGGAGTCGACTATGCCGGACCATTTACAGTGAAATTGTATGTCCTAAAAAGGCTTCAGCCTATTAAAGTTTATCTTTGTCTATTTGTCTGCTTTGCAACGAAAGCCGTACACTTAGAAGTTGTGTCGGATTTGTCCTCAGAAGCTTATATAGCAGCTCTTACACGTTTTATTTCCAGACGTGGTTCAGTGAAGGAAATTCATAGTGATTGTGGAACCAACTTTGTCGGAGCAGCTGCTGCACTTCACAAATGTTTTAACAACCTCCTTTGCAATCCAGTAACTCACCGTTTTGCTGAAGAAAACAACATTTCTTTCAAATTTCTGCCTCCACACGCGCCTCATCAAGGTGGCTTGTGGGAACGAGCTGTTAGGAGTGCTAAGCATCACCTTCATAGAGTAATCGGTGGCCAAATCCTGACTTATGAAGAATTCATAACTCTCGTGTCACGTGTCGAAGCAATATTAAATTCAAGACCGCTTACCCCTCTCTCTGGAGATCCGAATGACTTAGAGTCTCTAACCCCAGGACACTTTTTAACTGGTGGACCTCTGAAATCCATGGTTGAACCTCAATATGATGAAACTTCTTGTAACCGCTTGAGGAGATGGCAATTAGTTCAGGCATTCTCTCAACACATCTGGACTCGATGGTCCCAAGAGTATTTGCATACTCTACAGCATCACTCTAAGTGGACGAGTAAAACAGAGAACCTCAAGATTGGTGACCTTGTTGTTATTCATGAGCCTAACACTCCTCCCCTACAATGGAAACTTGCAAGAATCACCGCAGTATCTCCAGGAGCAGACGGAATTGTACGAGTGGTCCATCTACGCACCGCTACAGGGAACTTCAGTCGGCCAACCGTCAAAGTTTCCCTTCTTCCTACCAATTAATTCCTAAGCATTCCCTTTCACCCCCTTTCAATTTATTTTCATTTGTCTTTTCCCATTTTTCAGTTTTTTCATTGAACCAGGTTGGTTCAAGGGGGGCGATATGTTGGATATTTTAGGTTTCATGATTTTTAAATCGAGTCCATATTTATATTCTTCCGTTTCAAACAAAACCTAGCCCAAGTAATTTTCCGCTATTCAGCCGCTAACGAAGGTATGCGGCCTTTGCCCTCAACACTGATATCTTTCCAAACGACGCAGTCCACTGTCGTCCGCCGCTGAACTATCACCATATTTACTATCGTATATCCGCATCATCTTTTCAACATCCCGCAATTTTTACCTTTTTTTCTTTAAATTAATCAGTCTGTACAGTGCTAATAGAAGTGACAATAGTTTTGTTTTTATCCCAAGAAGAAATTATTTTTTGTTTATTTAACGGACAATTGTAATAGTGCAAGTAGGTCAACGTGTACATGGACAGTCCTCGTCGACGCCGCCATTGCCCAGTGCTTCAAGTCAGGTGGGGTACCCCAAACCAAACATCTCTTCAGCTTCACTAAGGTCTGTGACAGCAATTCAACATTGTTTAGCACTTTAAAAATTAGCCTAATTAAGACTGATTAATTTCATTCTATGTACATATTTTTCTTATTATACCAAACAATGATTGTCATGCAAATCACCTGTTTAAGAGTTTTGCTGGTATTGCTAACATAAGAGACACGGCGTCGATTGCACAATAAATTCCGTTTGCAACGATTATATAATTGTTTTAAGATAACCCTCCGGAAATTGCCAGATTTTTAGAATTGATTAAACGCTATTTTACCAAAAATTACAAAATAGTTAATCAGCTCTTCGTTTTGAAGTGCACTTTTGATGACGGTAATTTATGTTAATTGTGTAAGTATCTTTTGCGGATATTTTTCATCACGAATAGTAAAAACCCAAATTTTTGGAGGAAGATCTTTGCAAAGATTACGTAAATAACATAATTTAGCCGGTTTGAAATAATGGATATTAATTAATTGTAAAGCTGACCAGTACAAAAATATTTATTATAAAGTGTTAAGCAATATTTCAAATAAGAGGAACTATAAAACTCGGGTGTAAAGTATTAACAATTCAATGTAACAAAACATAATCACGTAGTAGGCTAGTATGCAAAAATAACCTGAATTGTTTTGTGGTTTTTGCTATTTTTAAGGTAAATTAACTTAAATATAAAAGCTAACATTGTTTGAAATTAACAGTAATACAATAGAACAACTATAACACATAATAATTGTTCAGAAATCAAGAATATCTTTTTACAAAATGCAGGGTTACATAACTGGAAAACGTCAGTACAACTACAACTAAAATATTGTTGTTGTTTGTTGTGTTGTAAATATTGTCGGAACAAATGTATCTATCTGAAAACAAACTGAAAATTGAAGCTAATAGAATATGTTGTACATTTTCCACTCACGTGCTCAAAACACCGCACGTGGAAAACGGTAGATTCTGGGGGAAAACTGACTTGAGACTTGGGGCGGGGACAATAGCAATCCCTCAATCAATTTGGTCCTCTCAACGGCAACTGTTGACTTAAGCTAAGGGACTGAGCATTTCATACATTACCTCCCCCAAAAAGCGCCCCTAACCGCTCCCCACAGGAGTATAGGGAGTCCCTCGGCACTAGATTTACAAGTCAAATCGTCAACTCGCAAAGAAACCGCAGGTGACGTTTAAATCGCTTCGTAACGTTTCGAGAGTTATTTCGAATCGTACCTTTCAGTATGTAAATGGCATTGTAGGAATTCAAGAAATTGTCGGAAGGGAGCGTATTTAAAAAGGAGACGACGAGGTGGTTTAAATCTTTGCAAAAGCATTGACAACAAAGTTTTACCGTCGGAATTAATTTGCCATAAAGCAGGATTCACATAAAAATCCAATCAAAATCAAAATCAAAATGTCCGCAATAAACCTTTGAACAACATTAACTCACCATCACCAACAATGAACTTCAAACAAAGAAAAATCCAATATTGCTATCTACCAAATATTTTATTATTAACATTTCCATTACTAAGATCAGAGGATTATTAAGTTGAGAAGTTACAAAAATGTGATGACAAAAAGCAAAAGTAACTAACAAGTATGAAATATAATTATAGCTGTAAAAATGTTTTTTGTATACTGTTTTTGCTTGATAGAACGGGAATATTTTTGTATATAAGCGCGTGGAAAATAAAAAAAACATAGTTTAAACTATGACAAATGTGACGTTTTTTAACAATATTTTTCATTGAAAGAAAACCATAAAAAAATTACAACTTGATAAGAAAATGTCCAAAACAAAGTGTCTTATCAATATTTAATAGTAACAGTTTTATGTTACTACAGTTTTATAAAACTTTGAGTGAATATGACATAAACATGACCCAAAGAGTAAATCACGAAATTTATTTCTTATTTTTATATCTTCTTGTAACCTATGTATGTGAATTGGCAGTATAATTTTAAAACAACAGCAAAGTTACCAACGGTTTTTGGAAGGTTTGGGTTTGGGGGTTGTAAGGGTTTTTGCCTCCACATATCACCTGACCACAGGTGTTCGGGTAACCAAGCTGTTAGGCTAATTGCTTGAATGATGTAAAAACACCCTTCCTGCAGCTGATTAAATAGCCTCTCATCGTGTAGACGTCTGAGAAAGTAATTTGTGGTTGGGTTGACAACCTAAAAGCATTCATTAATTAATTTTGGTTACAGGAATTGATGGAAGTTGTTGATACGTTTTTTAAATGAATATTGATTAGGTTTTCAGGTTGAGAGATCTTCATTTATTAGTCTTTACAGGATCTTTGAAACATGTGGTCATTGATGAAAAAAATGTATTACATTTTCTACAATATATTTAAGAAGGTACAGAAGCTAAACAATCATTTCTTAAAATTGAAAATATTCAATGTTCAACCCAAAACAATCAGAAACAATAATAGCAAAATGGCTGAAAGACCATCAAAGAGTAGTAGATATGGTCGAAGGTTCTCTTCAATACACATATGAATAAAAAAATGTTACTAGGTTAATATTTCTAAGAACAGTAGAACAATTTACATCTAAGTTTGGATCAAAGTCTAATAATTTAAATGAATGTAAACTACGTCATGATGGTCCCTTGGTTAAAATGTAAGAAAAACTTACTTTTAGTAAGTTATCTAATAAACTATTTTTTTGTTCTGTAGAGAGTGTCTTGCAAGTTTAACTACGAACCAAAAAGATAAAAAATGATGATCGAATGTTTATAAGTTACCACCAACTCATGTCCCAAGTGAGCTAGCAGCTCTATTGGCATCGTTAGACGAGTAGACGATCTTTAGCAGCACAATACCAGCTTCAATTCGCTGCTTTTGATTGACAATTGTAACTTCCGCAGGGAGTTCAACAATGCCTATCGCCGGCGGCAACTTGAGTAGGTACTCCACACAATAAGACCAATACCAATACACCCGCGGGATACCACGCCCTTATTTTCTACGTTTACAAACCAATGCAGGCCTTTAGGAGAGTACAAGAGTAGGAAAAGCAGCTCTTGCGGCCACCAATCAGAGAGCAGCATTTCATCCCCACCCTTCCCCCTAGGCCATGCCCCCTTTTGTCCCACGTGGTCACCCTCTGGTGTCCCACGTGGTCTAACCTCACTTTTGTTTTCGCGCCAAACATCTAACCTCACTTTACGTATTGCATACGTAGGTTCCCGCCAAACGAAAAAAACTTCACCTTCCCGCCAAGAAACATAACCTCACTTTCGTGCTAAACGAAAAAAACTTCTCCTTCCCGCCAAGTAACATAACCTCACATTTATTTTCGCGCCAGACGAAAAAATCACCTTCCTGCCAAGTAATATAACCTCACTTTCGCGCCAAACGAAAAAATCACCTTCCCGCCAAGTGACTTTCGCGCTAAACGAAAAAAACTTACTTCTTCTCCGCCGATTCCCGCCAAACAACGTATTGCGTAGGTTCCCGCCAAGTTACATAACCTCACTTTTATTTTCCCGCCAAACAAAAAAAACCTCACCTTCTCGCCAAACGAAAAAAACTTCATGTCCCTAGCAAATAGTATATAGAAAACTTGTTGTGCACCCTTTAGGACAGGGTTTGGGACTGTCCGAGTGTCTGAAGGACACCCCCAGGTTCAGGTATTATATCGTATTGTACTTGTATCCAGAGGAACTGGCTTAGTATTATACCATATAATACCCCCCTCCCTTATTTTGAGGGTGCACTTGGAATTGAAAACGCAGTTATAATGTTACAAATATTTATTCTACAAGCAAGACACATTACTAATTTATAAAGAATTGAGTGAAGTGTTAAAAACTACTGAGCACTACTACTACTGAACAACATGCTAAAAACTAATGTTTATAAATAAGCACATTTGGGGAATTCCCCACCATCCCCGTACATTTAACACTATACAATTTAGAGTTTGTGAAACATTCTAGATCTTCGTCTGTGAGGAGGCTGGTGAACCTCGAGGGTAAAAATGTCACCCTCTCCTCGCCGGCAGATGTGGTGACGTGTAGTACGATCACCATGGTTCCGAATCTCGTGTTGATTCGTCTAGCAGATTGAATTTTCGCCGGCTCGGTCAGATCTTTGATGGGGACTTTCAAAGGGGAAGAGAGCACCTCGCAAGACGACAGCTTTGTAGAAAGATCCATCTAAAACCATATAATATTGTCGTAATAATATTGTATGGATAGTCGAGTGGTTATAGTGTTTGCTTTTAAATCTGGAGGTTGCTGGTTTGATCCCCGGTTGATCCCTAAAAACTATGGGAACTATGATAGTAAAGAGGACCTATGCTGTTATTTTTACATTACAGGATCATTGATGCATCATAGATGAATCATAGATGCATCATAGATGCATCAAAGGATGGATCATTGATGCATCATAGATGCATCAAAGATGGATCATTGATGCATCATAAATGAATCATAGATG